CCCAATTTTCGCGTTTGTCTGGGGCTTTTTTTTTTTTTTTTTTGGAAGAAAAGTTTTCATTTTCAACCCTTGATTCAGAAACGGAACACGGTCTCAAATTATGACGATTCACTTCCTGGTTTGGTCCATAACATGTCAGGAAAAAATTGCAAACAAAGTGACCGAATTTGAGTTAAAAAATAAATAAAATAAAAAAACACCACGAGAATCGGTTTGCTTTCACGAAGGACCACAGAGATCTAAAACTGTTTCTCAAAACATTCATCGATGAATTGCGTAATCAACTGCTTGTCAATTAATCGTTGCTTTTCAACTTAAAAAAAAAATCGACAGACACAGACTTCGGATTTTTTTAGTTATTTATTTTTCTGGGGTGTGTGTCCATCGATCGATGACGTCCTTTCTATTTTTTTGCGTTTGTCCTGAACTTCCTGTGCGCGTTTTGCCTTCCGACCGCAAGACTTGAGCATTCTCTTTGAGCCTCGCTCCGGAACATAATCGGCCTCCAAATGTCAATGTAGCATAGTTCACACGAGCTAAACCCTTAATTGGCTCTGGCCCTGCAGAAATGTTGGGGTACTCGAAAGGGGGTTAAGGGGGAGGTTGACGGTGAGACCAGTTGCAGCTTTTCATTAACCTGGAAAGCACCTAGTTACATGGTTCATGGGCTGGTCTCAGCTCACTTGGAGGTAACAAAGGGTGTCGGGCGGCACTTTCCGCAAGGGGGCCGCGCGCTGGGGGCGCCGGCATCTGACTCTGATCAGGTGGCCCGCGCTCATTAGAGAGCAAGGCCTTTACCCGCCCCCCCCCCCAAACTCCCTCCCCCCCTTTCGTGTAGAGATCCGGTTATACGGAGCGTCGCCCACACCCGCGCCAGCGCTGCCAACTACTTCCGCCTTCCTCGTGTTTCGCACCCCTGAAAAACGGCAAATTTCCTTCTGAAATAAACTAATCGGTGTGAAATGGCAAAAGGCAAAACTTCACTTCCATTGAACAGTGAACGCATGCTACGAAGTTCCGCCACGCATACACGGAACTCTTCATTTCCCCGTCTACTCGTTGATTATATTGTTGATGTATTTTTTTTTTTTTTTTTTTTTTTTTTTGGACAGTTCTTTAGCGTCTACTCATATGAACTCTCAACTGTAACCACGCCCCAAAAAAGTCAAGAAGCAACCGAGTTGTTACGTTTTACAGAACGTACGTGTCAAGATATGCCCCCGGATCAGACTGCAAGACAAATTTGGTCTCTCACGATGGCGCGATGTCAAGACGACTGGCTCGTAATCCCGCCGCGTCTCAGTCAGCGCGCTGGCAACGCTGCATGACATCTTGTGAAATTATTGTATCCCGTTTTTTGGTTTTTTTTTTACGATCCTTAGGTTCAACTTGTCAAATCAAGCTGTCGGTGGAGGCGAGACTTGAAAACGTGCCGAAGCACCATTGCGGCGACAACAACAACAATCAGGCTTCTCTGGTACCAAATCAGTGTCAGTGAATTATGTCACACAGCAAAAGGGGTTTTGGAACTCCTGACAAAATATGTCGGAATTCAACTGGGAAATTGTCTACGAGAGCAAATCTGGCTAAAATCTGATCCGGGCATTCGGCGTAGCATACAACCATATTCCGAAACTGCCACGGCTTTTCGGAAAATGACGTCAGTGTCATAAGGTGACGCAAGTGTTGTGATGCTCACGGATGTTATTCAAAAATAAATAAAATAAAAATTCAAGTGCGGCCCGGTGGTCCAGTGGTTCGCGCGACGACCTCACAGTGTAGAGGTACCAGGTTCAATTCCAGCCCCGGCCTCCCTGTATAATATCTCCTAATTTAAGCAGTCAAAAATGCGAAAGAAGACTCATCCATCCTTGCTTTCGAAGAGTTTTGGTGCATTGGGCTTTGCCGCGCCTGAATCCGTGGGCTTGACTTGTGGTCCGAGCACTGCGGATTGAAGACCCCGACAACAAAATCCAAAAAAAAAAAAACAGTCCGCCGCGCCCCGGTAGCACGTTTCCGAGATGATTAGAAAAAGCTGCCACGAGCCCCTTTAGCGGCCGGCCGTCGGTAACCACGGCAACCTGACCTCCGTTTGGTCACAGCACGCTTTAAAGTGTGTTCTTGAAAGTGATCTTTCACGAGGGCTTTGACGGATGACGTCCTGCCTTTCTGAGAGCCGGGTGGGGGGGGGGGCACGGTGCTTTAAGCTGCGCCCCCTGCACCTTCCCCCCACCTCCTTCTCTTCCTCAGCATCATTTTGCCCCCCGACTGCTTGGTGAACCCAGAGTCACTCCTGGAGGACTCCCCGACACCACCCCAACCCAGCAGGTCACAAAGCAGCGGCCGCAGCCTGAGAGCTGATCTTTCCTTGTAAAGTAGCGGGCAGGTCAGCGGTCAGCGAGCCTCCCCAGGCCCACTCCCCTCCACACCGCAATTAAATACTCGAAGGGGAGGGCTGCG